TGTGAAAGCACTTTAAGTTGAAAAATAACAATTGAAAATGAGGCATTAGAATCCTCTCATAATCTCTTGCCCTTACTTGTTAGCATGTGGAATTCTGCCGCACCTTAACTTCACACGAAACACATAGGCATTTCTGCAAGAAATAACAGGTTGGACTAAATATATATGTATTATATTGTTTGCTTAAACTGAGACGCTTCAACATATCAGAAAATCCTATCCTTATTATCTCATTGGAAAACTTAAACCTAATCCTCAGTTCAAGAAAAGAAAAGGCTTAAGTATTTTTAACGATAATTAAGAAAATGTCATGTTCCGCGATTTTCGGGCTGTGATTCGTGCAATTCATTAATCTTCAAGTTAAACAAAACAATGGATGTTGTCATGGAGATAATCAGATCCATGAGCCAATTACGTGTTTTGCTTTCTTAACTATACTCTCTTTTCTACCTGTCCACTTTGGCATGCGGTTGCTTTTAGCTCTATATAAGTCTCGTTGAAGAGCACCATAGAAGCACAACTCCAGCTCCTTATACCATTATTGTTTTGTTATCAAGATATCATGAAGGTTGAAGTTGTAGTAATCTCCAAGGAGATTATCAGACCATCTTCTCCAACTCCTGATCACCTTCGCACATACCAGCTTTCCTTTCTCGACCAGATATCTCCTCCGGTCTATAATCCTTTGGTCATATTCTATTCCTCATCAGAGCCCGAAACAAAATTCGATATTGTTGAAATATCCAATCAACTTAAGAAATCCCTATCCAATGTCTTGACTCAATTCTACCCGCTAGCCGGACGTGCCCAAGGCAACTTGTTCATAGACTGCAATGACCAGGGAATACCCTACTTGGAAACTAGAGTTAAGTGCCAACTTTCTGATGTTATTCAAAACCCAATTCCTGTCGAACTCAACAAATTCATTCCATTCCAAGTAGATGAAGTTGCTGATATTTCTTTCGGTGTCCAACTCAACATCTTTGAGTGTGGTGGCATTGCTCTCGGTATGTGCATTTCCCATAAGATTGCGGACGCATTATCGTTTTTCAATTTCATCAAAACTTGGGCAGCCACTGCTAGACAACAAGGTGATCATATAGTGTGCCCACAATTTGTATCAGCCAAACTCTTCCCACCAAAGAACATATCTGGGTTTAATCCAAGAGTTGGCATCACAAGGGAGAACATTGTAACCAGAATGTTTGTCTTTGAGGCTTCAAAGATAGAGGCTCTCAAAACAAAATATGGTGCTGGTGATCACAGCAAGAGCTTAGAAAATCACCAAAAGCCGCCTTCTCGTGTGGAGGCTTTATCTGCTTTCATATGGGACCGCTTCATGGCTGCCACTCAGGTGAAGTCAGACATTGCACCAAAAAGGTTCTACGCCATTGTCCATGCAGTAAACCTTCGTACGAGGATTGATCCGCCATTGCCGGAACACTCATTTGGAAATCTATACAGAATTGCAATGACAATCCCGTCTTTGGATACCGGGGAGGAATGCTATGGCCTAGTGACGCAGGTGAGAGACCAAGTGAAGAAAATCGACAAAAACTACGTTGAAAAATTGCAGAAGGGCAGTGAGCATTTGGATTTCATCAAACAGCGCTCTGATAATGTCTTCAAAGGAGAGATGGTAACGATGAGCTTCACCAGCCTGTGTAGGTTTCCACTGTATGAAGCTGATTTTGGATGGGGAAACCCTACTTGGGTTGGCTCGCCAGCCCTAACTTTCAATAATTTGGTTGTTTTCATCGACGCTAAGTCTGGTGGTGGGATTGAAGCTTACATTAACATGAAGGAAGAAGACTTGGATAAAATTGAAGGCGATGGTGAGTTCCTTGCCTTTGTTTCTCCAAATGTGTAGTGAAGAATGCGTTGAGTACTTCGGTGGAAATAAATAAGAAGAAGAAAAATGAAATGTGTTGGAACGATCATAAAGTATTCTGTAGGCTGCAAATGAGTCTATTCGTGATTTGCCCAAAAGAAAAAGAATACATAGACTCATTTGAAGTAAAATTAATTGTGTCTGTGAGATTTCTTGTATCTAAATTCATCAAAATTTGAGTAAGGATGAGTGTTGTTCAAACTGTGTTTTGTAAGTGTTTTGTTATGCTTATGAATTTGTACTTTCTATTGAACTCAGTCAATTTAATGAATAATTAGACGTTCTAGGCAACTAGGTTTTTTGGCTTTTTTACTTCATTCGATTTGGTTTAGTTTTTCAATATTTTTGCCCATTTCTAATAAGTATAATCAAAACCAACAAGGTATCGTTATTTTTCTTCCCAAATTAGAATAATTCCCAATTAAATCCTTGTATCACAATTAGTATACGAATAGAACCAGTCGAAATATAAGAATGAAGAACAAGTTCGAAAGTCATGGTTTTGCTTATTATTCATAGAGATATAAAGTATGAACAAGCTCGAAAGTCATGGTTTTTCTTACTAATCATAGAAATATAAAGATATTGATGTCATTCTCATCCAGAACATAGCGTATTGGTTCTTAACATAGTAAACATTGAGTTTCTTTTCCGCACGCCACTCTCAATTACTATATTACATACAAAATTTTCCTAACAAGTTGGATTATTCTATTTGAAGGAGAAAAACAATTAAAGGGTCTCACCTTATCGTTCTATATTGATGTGATATGGATCCCCCGCATATTTTTTTATGCAAGGCTATACAAATAGGACCAAGTTAGAGGTCTGTATTGATGGGGCCTTCTCAACAAAGTCACGAACTAAATAGTTCAAGAACGTACTAAATACTAAATAAAACACTCATATATTCATCTATAATATTTTTCATATAACATATTACAATATCTTTAAATGCGTTTTTATGTTTTAAAGGCGTTGCATAACAACTTTATTGCCAATACCATCAAATATCTCTCTATATAAAAATAACCGTTCTATCATTTATCTATTGATTTCATTCAATCTCTTAATCGACCTTTAAAAATTTCATAGTCGAAAATGTTCTTTCAGCGACGACAGCATCACATAAAAGAGTTAAGACTTAAGAGTAATGTCACAAGAAACTGGAAGAGTAATTTTTTCATACAAAGAGAATTTATCAGATAGAAAGACCGGACCACGTGTCACCTACATACACAAACACAGTAAATCCTCCCCCTCTCCGGTCACCTACATACACAAACACAGTAAATCCTCCCCCTCCCCTTCCCCATCTACACCTCCTTGGTCCTCACCCATCAATTTTGCTTGAGTATTGAGTTAGGTCCGATACTCATCATCCACATCAACTCATTTTTATTGTCCTGCTAAATTTCTTTCCTGCTCCAAAACGTTTCTTATTTCTTCGTTCTCTTTTTCTCTCTATCTCGTGTTTTTTTTCCTCCTTCCTGCTCCCCAGCATAGATGATCAAAGATGTCCAACCTCTAATTTATGTTGTAGGTTTGATTTGTAGAAATTAGCCAATCTTGTCTGCTTTCTCCCTTTTTTTGTTCATGCTTCTCTATTTTTTTCTGTTCTAAAAATCTTTCTTTCTTCTTCATGTTTTTCTCCCCCAGTATCATCTTTTTGTTTATACTTTTCTATGGATTTTGTTGGTGTTTATATATCATATTTCTTTTATTAATCTACCTCTATATATTTTTTTATTCTACGCATATCATGGATAAATTGTATTATCTACCAATATATATCATGTTATTGATAATCTATTTCAAATTATTTGTGTTTATCTACATGTATCATAGGTTGTCTTTTTCAGTCTACCTATAGTGCAACACATTTTTTTGTTGATATTCTAATTCAAATTAATTGTGTTTATCTATCTATCCCACAGGTGTCACTGAGTCTCACTATAAGAGTCTCTTGAACATTTCTTTACCATGGATTTTTTTGTCATAGTCTACCTAAATCAGAAGTTTTTGTTCATACTTTTCAGATTGTTTGGTAAAATTGCAGAGTTAAACTGGGTTCATTAAAGAACTGAAAGACATTGGAGGATCAAGCTTTATGGATTTTGGAATCTTGTCTTCGTCTAGATGACTCTCTAATCTCAAAAAATAAGGACTCGTTTGAAAATACTTTTAAAAAAAATTGAAGTATTTTTACATTACAGTGATTTTAGAATCAATACTTATTAGAAATGCAAGTTATATTAAAATTTAAAAAAATAATAAAAAAAATAAAAACCTTGAATAATTAGTGCTTGGTAACCAACTATACTTTAATTAATCGCATAAAGAAATAAATGTCGGCAAAAAGATTCCAACCGTTCAATTCATACTTTAAGTCGACAAAAAAAAAATTCTTACTTTAAGAATTGGTTTAAATGTTAAAATAGTCCCGGTGTTATAGCCTATATAGCCAATTTAGTTTTTGTGTTTTTGATTTGACTAATTAAGTCCTTATGTTTGTCTTTATTAGCCAATTAATGACATTTCATTCAATCTTTTTTAGAGATTCATAAGAAATAATAATTACTCTTTCTTTTTACAGAAAAATGTAAATCAATGAAAAATAACACATATAAAAAATAAAACTTCCAATCTGAAAAATAATTAAGGCTGTGACATAAAAACACGAGAAGAAAATAATGAGTGCTACTAGACTCATTTTATTGTCATATTTACATTATAATCCCACGTACCCTAAAAAATAAGAAAAATACCCTACCCTCTTCCTACCCACTATTATCACCAAAGTACCCTTCCAATTACCACCCGGACACCACTCACCAGCACAGCCTCCCCCTTCCCATAGCCATTACTGACCGCTGAGAAGCACAAAATTCAATATTCGTATTGCTTTTGTAGACTGTTATCCCATCTATTTTTCAATTATTTAAATATATTTAATAAAAGAAAATTTATTAAATAGAAGGAAGCAAACCGCTACCACCCTTCTGCACTTTTACTACCATCCTGACCAACCCCATAGCAGACCACGAAGGGATGCAATAATAGAAATGAAGAGTCAGTCGCTCAACGAATCATAGAATCAAAGCCGAAATAATAAGAAACGAAATTGGTAGAGAAAGAAACTCTGATGACATCCTTATACAGCTTGATGCATTCAGCGCGTTTGAGATGTGTATTACGATGAGCTCGACTAATACAATAAGATCAACTCACGATTCAATCATAAATTCAATAATTTAGGATCCAATAAACATATATTAAACATTAAACGGAACAAAATGCAGACGAGATGTTTGGGAATTAAGATTACTAGTTGAGCATGGGTGGAAGCGAACAATCTGATTTTGTTTTCCCTTAGTCCTTACTAGAAAATACGCCCGCGCGTTGCTACGGGACTTGAATGCACAAATCTTAACTGCATGAATAAAACACACTTAACCTGAATAAATTAAACATAATCATGAATGAATAGAAGGATAGATGAGTGAAAAGAGTCGGTAAGATAAGCATCTTGATTTTTGTATACATTCAACATAACTGATATGAAAAGACATTGTACAATTAACAGGACGAAGCTGAACGTTCTTGATTACAAAAATGTGATTGCAAAAAATTCTCTATTTCCACAAGAAACAGAAGCAACATGCAGTTCACACATATATTGCCTCTGAATTTAAGATGGCAAAATATGTCCTGCAGGCCAGCCGCCTGTTTCAGCAGTTAACAAAAAACGTTAAAAGTGTTCTGTTTTTGTTTCAGCAGCTAAGTTTTCAAGCACTAATGTTCAAAGAAAAAAAAAATGCAGGATGCCTATTTCCGTAAGAAACAAAAGCAAGATGCAGTCCAGACATATTTTGCCCTTGCAGTTAAGGTAGCAAAATATATGGCCTGTAGACCTAGCACATGTTTCAGCAGTTAACAAAAAACAAAATAACTGTTCAATTGTTGTTTCAGCAGTTTTCAAGCACACACTGACTCCAAGAAAACAGAATGTTGGAAGATATAAAAACAGGGCTAATTTCAAGCATAAACCATCTCTGAAAAATTAATACCTCAAGTTTGTTTTCCCAATCTACACCATAAATATTACTTAAAATTGAACCAGCCTTGACAACAAACTGAAGAAGCTCCTTGAAAAAATCTACGGTGCTATAAAACACCCCAATAAGAAGAATAAAATAAGATGCCAAGAATTCATGAGCAGCTAATTAGAAGCTAAAGACGGTCTAGTGCCTAAGAACCAACTAAGTGAAACTTTGCTTGCTATATATGGATATGCATGCTATAAGAAAGATTTATTACCCCATGTAGTAGGCTGTTCTCTGTAATCTTAAGCTAACCCAAGTAGACTAATTATAATGATGCAAAATATATATAAATCTGACTCTTTTTTTTTAACTGGGATTCGAAAGAATCAATACCTTGGGATATAACGGTCTTCAGCAATTACTACAAGATCATCCTTCTAGCTATGCAACAAATCCAAATTGAGCACCATCGCATAATCCTGGGCTTACATTGTGGAAAACAGAAGCACCGCCAGCGTTTCAAACAATCAACGTTACTTGCCAACATCATTAGAGAGTGAACAATTAGGACCATTTTTTCTGTCGAGCCATTCTAGTTGGCCAAACTCTATGTAATTGCTTCTAATAACAGAATATTCTGATTGAAATGGAAAGCATAGTTCCTCTAAAAAGAGGCTAGAATCATTCATACTTGCCAAACCAACAGTAATCTGGTTCAAGATGTGAGAGACCATTTATTTCTGTGTAACTGACACGCCCCGACCCCGATATTCCCCGAATACCAGGATAGGCACGTGCTGGCCGACACCCGAGGGTGACGAAAGCCATTTATTAAGTACAAATGCTGAAAATAAAGGATAAATAAGGTTTATAAATATAAAAGAATAATGAACATGCAAATAAGGACCGTGTTCAGAGCACACCACTAATCTAGAACACTAAAAGAAAATAATATAAAATTGAATGAAACGAAGGAGTGGGTCCTACACCGAGAGGACTCGAAGATGCCGATGCGAATGTGCCTGGACGTCGGGATTGTATGCCTCGATTCTAAGTCCTGAAGGGGGCGCAAAACAAACATGAGTGGACCAAGTTGATATATATATAATAAAACATTTATCAACATACTAACCCCCAAGTTTTATGAAAACACTTATATATAATGATAAACATAGGTTTTCCGAAACCTAGCATGTCGTGCAATATCTCAAATCATAATTTGCATAAATAATAAACACTAGTGAATGTCTGATATAACTCTTCAGGCCCCATGCCGGCTCCCCATCTCTGAGCACACAGTCAGAGGAAAATACACTTCAGGCCCCGTGCCGGCTCCCCGTCTCTGAGCAGACAGTCAGAGGAAAACACACTCCAGGCCCTATGCCAACACCAAACCGTCGCCCGGGACGGACCGGATCTATTCCTACGTCCCGTAGCGGAAAGGACCACTAGGTAAGTACAAAACCAGTGAACATACATATATTGAAAATCAACTTCATAGTATAAAGTCATCCATCATCTATACTATAAAGAGGTGTTCTAAACATGTTCTAAATATCATATCGTCATCCATCAGATATTCTACAAGAACATGGGTTATAGGAAAAATAGTAATAATTCAAACTAGCCTCAGTAAGCATATTATCTCAAAACGTTTCATAAAACATAATCGTAAAGTCATGTTTTTCTGTGTATGCAATTCTACCATTAAAACATGCATTTTTAGAAGGGGTCCACTCACAGTACTTCGCCGTCGAAAGCCACGTCATCTAGCGAAGAAGGAAACGCCATCGATAATTGCCCCTAAGCACATAAATGGTATATTTAGTCAAACTCTACTCAAACGATTGAATTTGGGAAAACAGACATCGGAAACGGGTTCAGGACGTCGAAATTAGCCTAGGAGGGGTCCCGCACAAAAACCCAAAAAGTCAACCCGAGGTCAAAGTCAACGTTGACCGTTGACCGGTCAAAGTCAACTCTGACCGTTGACCGGGTCACGGTCAACGGGTCAGGGTCCGGGTCACGGGTCAACGGGTCAGGCTTTAGGGTTTGGGTATTGGATCCGGGTTTGGGCCTAAGGGTTTGGGTTAGGGTAATTGGGTTTAGGTTTTAGGTGGGTTGGATTTTGGGTTAGAAACCATACGGCCCAAAGGCCTAATTAAAAAGGGTAATGGGTTTGGGCTGCCCAGGGTCTTGGGCTAACAGGCCCTAAGGCCTAAATAAAAAGGGAAATGGGTTTGGGCTGCAACCAAGGCCCTAAGGCCTTTTGGGTTTTTAAAAGAAATAAACTAAAAATAAAAAAAGGAAAAGGTTTAGGGTTTTGGGCCAGAGACCAAACGGGCCTAAGGCCCGTGGGGGAAGGAAACGGCCTGAAGGCCTGGGTGTTTTCTTGGGCTGGGTTTCACGCCGGAGAAGAAGGCCGGAATTCGGCCGGAATTCAGAAAAACTTTGAACGTCCATAACTTTGTTAATACTCGACAAAATCAAGTGATTCAAAAATGAAAATCGTAGCTCTCAAAGAGACGAAGAGAATGGTACCTCACACGACGTCTAACTCGCCGTGGTTTGGCTGGAAAACACCTCGAAAGTCACTGAGGTCGCCGGAAACTGGGTAAGATTCAAATGAGTATAACTTATTCAATACTCAATGAAATTAGGTGAAACAAAAAGGAAAGTTGTAGTACTCAACGAGACGAAGAGATTGATACCTCGCACGCCGGCCAACTCGCCGTGGTTTGGCCGGAAATCGCCTCGAAAGGGACGGTGCTCGCCGGAAAATTGGGAAAGAGTCTCCGAGGTGGTTTCTTCATGGTTTGATGTCCAAAACACAACCACGGGGTTTGAAAAGAGTTATAGGTGTGGGCATAGGTGTGTGTGTGTGTGTTTCACGGGGAAGAAGAGAGAAATGGGGGAGTTTCTAAGGAAGGGAGAAGGTGCAGACAAAACAAAACAAAAGAAGGGAAAAGAAGAAAAAAGAAAAAGAAAGAAGAGAGGAGGGACACGGCAGGGGGGACAAAACAGGGGGTGGGCCTCTTGGGCTCACCAAATAAGGTTCAAAAACAATTTTAAAAAGGAAGGTATTCTCAAACTTAGTAAAAATATAAAAATACCCATTTTCTTCCGTAAATTCCGGGACGGGTTGTTACAGTAACCATCAGAAGTCTCACTCATCTGCCTCCCAATCCCCTCCAATCCTCCAACAGACGTATAAATGAAACAATGAAAATATATGGGAACTCAAAAGGGTTAGACAAAATAGTACTTTCTCTCTTAAAAATGCGGTTATCAACCCTTTTTACACATTTTTGTTATAGTGTAACCTAATTGTTCATTCAATTACAATATCTGAAAACACCTCAAGTCAAGCCACCTGATTTTGGCAGTTAGGTGAGAAGGGGATGCTAATATATATTTCGAAAACAACATCATGCTTTTCAGCCATTTTCATGGTTCTTACCAAAATTTAAAATCTACAGACAGTGAGGGATTAAGACAGTCAGGAAATAAACAAATATTAGATATAATTCCACATTCTAAAATAGATATCAGTAAGTCAAAAGTAAAAACATGAAAAAAGTAAGAAATTTGATATTGTAGTTAAAGACCCATATAAGTAATCTACAACTAAAAAGCTAGATGTTAAACCTAAAATCATGTAATTATGTATGAAGCAGAGAATAATGCAGAAAGATTGTTTTTTATAGTGCTGCCAATGACAATTAATTTCTCATGAAAACAAAGAAAAGAGAAACAGAGGTATAAAAGTATGTTGTTTTTTTATAGTTACAAATATTATGAATTCTGAGAAAAAAACACAAATAATACTTCAATCACAGACCTAAGCATCTAAAATGCGGTGACCAAAATACCATTCAAGATAGGGCCCAGCATCATGGATGAACTAACCTATCTGTGTCCCTGAGCTCACTGCATGTCATATACACCCGACCAACTGGGCATAGGAGCATAATGAGGAAAACTTCCCATATCCTCATTCCTCACTTAGAAGAAAATAATGCATGCATAATAGCCACATGGACCTCGCGCATATAAATTGTTGTGGCAATAATTTGCAATAGAAAACGTAGTTATAAATAAGATATACAAAATACCAACATTGCAATGGTCTTTTTTTCTTTTTTCTTTTTTTTCATCCGATTGTACTGAAGCATGCATCTTAGTGGAGAACAACTAAGTACTACGTGAGGTCTCTATAATGAAATGGGAGATTGAATACACTTGAGGAACTGAAAATTCAAATATGCACACTCCATAGTGTATCTTCACAACCAAAAGAAACGTTTATATATACGACACATGTTTGACATTGTTTTTCCCCGCTCCCATCGTCTTGAGAAAATTTGACTACATTGAGAAAAAGCAAAAGAGTACTTTTTACTACCTAATTTACTAAGATCCACCAAATCTAAAAACTACAAAACTTTGATTAAAGAATCAGATAGAATAGCATGAGAAAGTTATTAGGACACCATATCCGAATTTTTTGCAGATAAAAACACCTGTATTTCACCTGATTTTCGAATGAAATACAGATGCTTGTATGTCACCTGTACATAGCTGCCTGACATTTATTGTCTTCTTTGGGTTCAAGTTCGTTATATTGTCTGATACGTGAAAGAATCAGAAATCGTATACAGTTTGATAAAGAAACACATAATGTGATTACGTGACAACCATGCACTCGTCTGTCAGAGATAAAACAAAGATACCAAAAACAGAGAGGCAATGTTAAGATAAACAGAGAGGCAATGTCACATTGTTTTGCATGATCTTGAAATTGGGGATAAGGTATTCAAAGTGCTAACAATGACATGCAAATGGTATTGAAATGCTAAAAAGGGCATTTTGAATAATTATATGATGCGGCAACAAAAACACAATTGACTTTCAAACTACAAAAATAAATGATAAAAAACACACACTTGCACCCAATGCATTGCTTCTTTTTTTTCTGTGCAGTATAAGAATAAATAACATTCCCCCGAAACTAAATTCATCCCCCAATTTCTTGCAACAAATTTCAGTTATGATGAACGCAACTAAATCTTAAATAAATAGAGCTGTTCAATTATATTAAACTACATATAGGGAGGGATATAGGGAGGGGGAAAGATAGAAAAGAGAGACCTCGAGCTACCTGGATCCTCAATATTGACCGGAACATAATTCCGATTGGGTTTCAAAAGTGAAGTGTACATCAAATGCTATATCAGTGTTGTCAGATGCTGAAAAGTAACTGCAATCCAGGGAACAATTTCATTTATAAGTATAATAAAAATAGAAAGAATCAGGGAAAATCTGTGATGGTGGAAAACATCAAAGCCAAACCAAAACTCTAAACCTGTATTAGAGGTTTATTAAATCCAATGTTGAAAACCATTTAATAGTATTGTTTGAAACCTAAAAAAGGATTGAATAGTGATCACTGACCTCTTTGAATCGAATGATATTCGGATTCATCAGTGATTTATGGTTTATGATTTCCCTTTGAACATGTTCATCCATCTGGATCTGCGTCACCAAAAATAAATAAATATTTAAAAAAAATATATAAAATGAAAATAGTTTATGATCACTAACCTCTTTGGATCGAATGATATTCGGATGCTTGATTTCCCTTTGAACATGTTCATCTATCTGCATCACCAAAAAATTAATAAATATTTTTAAAAATGCAAAATTTAAAGGATAAGAATTGCGAAGATTCTTAGGTCTTAGTTCAGAATGAAATAGCTCGTCTCACCTCCATATATTACCAAATCTTAGTCTATATAGAAAATATGCCCGCATGTTGCGGCGGGAATCAACTGTTTTAGACGTAACTGCATGAATAAAACACATTTAACTTGAATAAATTCAAAACAATCATGAATGAACAAAGGGACACATGAGTGAATGAGGTCAATAAATATTTAAAAAAACTACAAAATGAAAATAGTTTATGATCACTAACCTCTTTGGATCGAATGATATTCGGATGCTTGATTTCCCTTTGAACATGTTCATCTATCTGCATCACCAAAAAATTAATAAATATTTTAAAAAATGCAAAATTTAAAGGATAAGAATTGCGAAGATTCTTAGGTCTTAGTTCGGAATGAAATAGCTCGTCTCACCCCCATATATTACCAAATCTTAGTCTATATAGAAAATACGCCAGCGTGTTGCGGCGGGAATCAACTGTTTTAAACGTAACTGCATGAATAAAACGCATTTAACCTGAATAAATTCAAAACAATCATGAATGAACAAAGGGACACATGAGTGCATGAGGTCTATAAGATAAGCAGCTTGGCTTTTATATACATTCAACTGACATCTTTTATCGTCATAGTCTCCAATATATATGTAAGGTATGTAAGCTGAACACAGAAAAAGAGGAAATGACACAAATGATGTTTTGAGGGGAATGCCAGAACTGAACCATGAGGGGAAACTTACATAGAAAATGACCAGATTTGCTGCAATAGAAATTAAATTAATTTATGGTAAAAAGTTGAAGATCGAAGGGTGAGTGAGGGATCTGAGATGTTTGAGAGCTTGTGCGAAAAAGTTGAAGAGTGAGTGAGGGATCTGAGATGTTTGAGAGCTTGTGCAAAAAAGTTGAAGAGCTTCGAACTGAGTGAGAGACGGAGAGAGTGGAGTGAGAATGGCAGAGAGAATCAAAACCAAACAAAACAGTAGAAAATCAAGTATAAAGATGGTACTTATCTTGTGATGAGGACATGCAGACGCATGATGGACGAAGGAGAGCACATCTAGGGTCCAACTCCTTGTCTTCCTCCCTGTCCTGTAATTCCAGCATATAAACAGCAAAACACAAAACCATAAACCCCCAAATTTATTCATTTCTTAATTGAAATCCAGAACAAACAAATGCAAAATTTAAGTAATGCAGAGAAAACGTAGATCCCACCCCAAATTTATCCTCTAAGGTTTTTTATAAATCAACCAACCATGAATCAAAGAAGAAGCAGAGGATTGAGTAAGGGGGGGAGAGAGTTCCACTGTGAGACAGTGTTTGAGCGCAGTGGTGCTGTCGGAAAAGGTCCAAAGGGACAAACCCAAATCCCTAGCAACAATCCCTACCCCTCTTCCTCAAATCCCGACGGCCCCCATGCTTTTCTCTAACTGTCCCCCCTCTCCCACTCATGAAATCGAGGATCTGCAGCAATGGCGATGAGATCCCCACTCCTCCCTCTCCATCTCTCTCTCTCTCTCTCTCAATCTTTATGTCTGTCTCCCTCTCTCCCTCTCCCTCTCCCTCTCCCTCTCCCTCTCTCTCCATCTCCCTCTCCTTCTCCCTCTATCTCTCCCTTTCTGTCTCCCTCTATCTCTATCTCTATCTCTATGTCTATCGGTATGACCCCCCATCCCTGAAACCCTCACCAATCGATGAGCATTAACAAACACACATGCACAAATCTCAAAGGAAATTGGTAAGAAATAATCCTAATTGAGAAAAAAAATCAGAAAACCAGAGGACATAACTGGAGTCTATTTCTACAGAATCCATGACAAACAAATATCCAAAATTAACAGATTACATTAACAACATTCCAACAAAAGTAAGAAGACCAGAAAAACTATCTATTCTAAAGTAAATTAGTTCCATCATGCATAAATCAAGGGAGTCACGGAAGGCCAGTATCTAAGGTAATTCAACATATTAAAGCATCCAAACACAGACTCAGAATTACACAACGAATGAAAATTCACATTCCAACATGTTATGCAATCACCAATTTCAGATCAACCAAAACCAAATAAATTTATCAGTATGCATCAAACCCACCAAACCCAAAATCAAAAGAAGGTGATCAAATGTTTGATTTTGCTAAATATTACAAAAGAAAATAAATAAGAATATGGACAAATCAGCATGCATACCTTGTAGCGGTGCAGGGAACAGTAGCGTGAGCTGCATCGAGGGCATGTGTACTGGGAAAATTGTTACTGGCAGCTGCAATTAACAAAAACAAAACAAAACAAAAATTGAAAAAAATCAAAATCGGGAATTTTTCCAGAAAAAAAATAAAACAAATTATCAAGCTTTGTTGATGAAAGAGAGGTGGTGTTCTTGAGAAGTCAGAGCCTTTGGAACCTTTGGAACAGTTCGGGAGCTTCTCTGAGAAGTCGGAGCCTTTGGAAAAGTTCGGGATCTTTTCTGAGAGGCTGAAGCTTCAGCTGTCCGGGAAGCATGCTTGCAACGGGCGTGTCAGAACCTCCTACATTAAATCAGTAGAAGGAAAAACATTGCCAAGAAATGAAAATCAAACAAAATGGGCAACTCAGATGTTAAAAAAGAACACAATTATCTAATATTCCCAAACTCCTTCAAACACATACATTTTCTAGACTAAAGGGAACTGATACTTAGAAATCTGTACCATGTAATTGGGGATGTACATGGGCTCTATTTTGTACAACGTCGTGTTGCGCAGAAGCAATACTGGAATCCTAGTGTTTACAGTGGCGACACTTGCCTTGCCTCCTCCTTGTGCATTGTTAATATGCTTCTTAAAACTGAATATTTGAAATAAAAATCATCAAACCCTAAAATTTCCAACAATCTCAAAAATTCCAAAACAAACGTATTAAAAACCTCAATTTGAAATCCTAATCCAAAGCAATATAATTGCATAGATTGTTAAAAATGACGGAAAACTGATCAGGAACAAACCCTACACAAAGACACATATGCAAATAAGTAGATTTGACATATATATATATACACACCTGCGGTTGGAGGAGATAGAAGGGCCAAGCCCACCGGTGCGGGTGCCCATAGGGTGAGCGGATGCTGTGAAAAATATGAAACCTTGTGAAAAGAGCGCATGTGGGAAAGACCAATATCAGTATCGAACACATAGAAACCACAGCGGTAATAACATTCAAAAAAGTCTTTATTCTATACGACACAATGAAAGCAATAGCGGTGAGGCATAAAAAGTAAAAATAAAAAATTGGGGATTGTAAATTGTAATCTAATCACCTAATAAAATAAAATAGAAATTAAGCACAACAATATCAAAATTAAAGGGAAGGAATAACATGAAACCTTGTGCATAGAACGCTCGTGAGAATGAATCACACAATAATCAAGGGTGGACAAATCACAAAAGTGACAATTAAAGGGCACCTAACAGACACCCCCATCTCTCTCTGCAGTCGCAGAAATCCCTCAGGTTTCAGGAAGCAAATGGAAAATGAAATGCTTTTCCATCCCCTACCCATACCATACCCATACCTCCCTTTCTCCATGTTACAGCGATAGTCTTAGAGCTCTTACAACATCACAGATGCATGACCAAGAGTGTATCCGACAACCTTTTCTCTGGTCCTTTTCATCAGTTGGTCCTAAAGCAACCCTCTAGAGATTCTATTCTTTTAAATTCATCTTCTTTTTGGGTATCAACACACATTTATCACTTTATATGTCGAACACAAAACACCTAAAATTTTTATGACAAATTAGAAGCAACTAATCAGAATCTGGGTACTGAGAATTAAATTACTCTTTTTTCTTATAGTCCCAATGGAAATTACTCATTGATTCACAATATAATAAACTAAAATGCAAGAAAAGAAAAATCAATAACATATATCAAAATAATATAAAAAGATCCCAACAAACCAAGCAAACAATTAGCATTTAAACAAAAATATTTGCAAAGTTGGAGGGAAAGAAGCATACCAGAAGATGAAGAGGAAGAAGAAGAACATGTTACAGAAACCTTTCCCATTTTTCAGAAACCTAACTCTGGGTCGAGCTGAGCTTCTCCGCCGCCATTCTTAGCGGCTCTGATTTACATGTTGTCAGTATCAGCAGCCGAGCAGACCCGTCCATCTTTATCTTCGATCTTAGCCGATTTCGACATTCTCTCTCGAATTTTGCTCTCCCATTCCCTGAAACAAATTCTGATCATAATTCATTCCTTAAGTAGAACTAATAGATTTAAACGAAGAAAAATTAAATTAAAAAAAAAGCTGGGTTTTTTTACCTCTAAACGATCTAATAGATTCCCAGCAATAAAAGGCTTCAATCACTACCTTTGCATGTTCGATTGATCAGTAAAATATACAGAATAAGAGTTACATCACATAGCAATAAATTAGAGAGAATTTGACGACAAAAGGAGATTTAAAATGGGAAAACCTCACAAACGTCTCAAACCCTAGAATTCTTGCTAAACAAAATCACAATTTCAAATCTGAAGCTGCATGATATGAATAGAGTTTGTAAACCTAATCCTAAAGCATAAAAGATTTGAAAACAACTCCTCACCTTTTCAATCAGCTGAGGCTGTCATGGGCTTCAAATCTCAGTCCTTCTGTGCAACCATGGCCTTTGTCCTCAATCTCAGGCCTTCCTGTCTCTGTGTGCTCTCTCTCTCATGTGTCCTTCTCTCTGGTAGCCGGCCTCAGGAGTGCAGGTAGTGAAAGTGATGCAACCACTCAATCTCTTCTCTCTCTCCTTGAATCGTACACCCCTATGACTCTGTCTAACTGCAAGCCGTATGCCTTCCCCTCACCAAATCCCTATCTCTCTCACTCTTCCTTCCTCCCTCCCCCTCTCTCTCACCTCCTCCTCTCTGCAAGCCGCATGCCTTCCTTTCACCAAATCCCCATCTCTCTCCCTCCCGCTCTCTCTCCTGACGGCATGGTGTCACCGAGTTCCTCTGCAACTCACAGAAAGAAAGGAAATGAAAGTCTCCCTAACCCACCCAATTCGTTCGAAACCCTACAGACTCAAACGACCATCGCACCCCTGCCTTACCACGTTCATCAACATGCGGCATCAAGATCAGCGGCAGAGACAGTGGCAGCTTCGTAAATAAAATGAAATTCTCTCCAAATCGCTGTTCATTTCTACAGTGCGATTTCGCCTCCTTCTTACTAAAGTAATATGACATTTTACCTGAGGGTAAATGGTAATTAAATTTTTTAATAAACAGTGCGGGTAGAAATAAGAAGGGATGAGAATAGTAACACTCCTGATAAAATAGGAGGTCGGATGGTTGGAGGAGAATTTTTTTTGTTTTTTTTTTTTTTTTTAATTTTTATTTCATTTTAAATATTTTAAATCAAATAAATTATAATAATTTGTAATTTTTTTACAGAAATTAAATGAAAATGTTGTTCTTAATTAACTAAAGGAGATAAATTAAATTATTGAAACCACATAAATTAAATTAAGCCCCAAGAATTTAGCCATACCACAGAGAGAGGGAGGGAGAGAGAGAGAGGGAGGGGCGTGAGAATGAAGATTGAAGTTGAAGTGATCTCCAAGTCCGTAGAGATGATCAAACCATCTTCTCCAACCCCAAATCATCTTCACCATCACCAGCTCTCCTTTCTCGATCAATTAGCTCCCCCTGCATATATCCCCTTTCTCTTCTTCTACGAATCCACCGGCACCAAAACCATCACTCAGATATCAAACATCCTCAAGACGTCTCTCTCCAAAATATTATCCCAATACTACCCTTTTGCCGGCCGAGTGAAACACAATCTCTTTGTTCACTGCAGCGACCAAGGCGTGCCGTTCTTCGAATCCAAAGTCAAATCCCAACCCCTCTCTCATGTGATCGCCAGCCCTTTCGTCTCCGAACTCAACAAGTTGTTGCCCTACAGGCTAGGCGAAGTAACTGAAGTACCCCTTGGTGTTCAACTCAATGTGTTTGACTGTGGAGGATTTGCTATTGGCTTGTGTGTTTCTCATAGGATTGCAGATGGGTTAACATCTTTTACATTTGTGAACAGATGGGCAGCTCAAGCTAATTGTGATGCACAAGGGAAGAGTAATATTATTGTGGGTCCGGATTTTTCTGCAGCATCAATCTTCCCACCAAAAAATATGGATGGGTATTTAGGGGTTTCGTATGTCAACAAGAAAGCAATCGTAACAAAGAGGTTTGTGTTCGATGGCTCAAAGATTGAGGCTTTAAGATCGAGATATGAAGAGAGCATGAAGTTTTCCAAAACCCAAAAACGCCCTTCAAAAGTTGAGGCCTTATCAGCTTTTTTATGGAACATCTTTCTGGCAGTAAGGAGAAAAACAGATTGTGTCGGTATTCCAAATCAATCACGCGCTCAAACATTATACACGGTTGTTTATATTATGGATCTGCGGTCGAGGTTTGACCCACCTTTGCCTCAGCATGCTTTTGGGAATTATTACAGGGCTGCCACTGCAACTCCAACTTTGGTCAATGGGGAGGAGAGCCATCGATTGGTGAGGCAGGTGATACAGGAAATTGAGAACATTGACAATAATTATATGAGGAGATTTCAAGAGGGATATCGAGAGCATTTGGATTTCATGAGGAAAAGAATGGAGAGGTTTGCAAAAGGTGAGCTGGTGACATTGACTTTTTCGAGTGTGTGCAGGTTTCCTATTTACGATGCTGATTTTGGTTGGGGGAAGCCTGCATGGGTGAGCATGGCTGCCATGAATATTAATAATCAGATAGTTTTCATGGACACCAAAAATGGCGATGGTATCGAGTCGTATTTTAGCTTGACAGAGGAAGACATGGCCAAGTTTGAACTTCACAAAGAGTTCATCGCATTGCTTAAATCTCCAGTTGGTAATGTAAAGGAAAATTCACTTTCACGTCTTTAATTTGAACGAGTAATTAGCTTCTCTGCAGTTGATTATTGGTCATGTGTTAATTTCCTGATTAGATGTTTATGGTACTGATATTACTGAATCATGTCATGGTGTGATCAGATATACTCTGCAGCTTGATCATGTGTTTCCTGATCAATTATAGGAGATTTAAGCAAATAGTTTTATTCTTTTGAGGGTTGTTATTGACGCTCGAAAATTGTCAATTTGCACTCCTCACGTGAAGAGATTATGTAGAGAAACAACACTAAGGAGGAGTGCAGAATGATTCTTTGAGAGCGCCAATTACAACTCCCATTAGTTTGCGCTAATTGATCTCTATGTACCTAAGTACTAGGTGACCTAGAGATCTAGATAATGTTAGACGCCGTTCATCCTAGAAGTTCACTGGGGGATCTAGATAATCTGTACTCCTCCGTCAGATTCGCAGATGCTTGACACCTTCCCATCTCTGGCATCAATCAAATAAAAACTACGCTTTAAGTTGTGGCTTGGAATGGTCACCCATACAGGCTTTCCCCACCCAAAATCCACCCCATGCACTGGGAACCAGCACCAGCTGCTACATCTATAACAACCTCATCATTGATGATGTCTATTTTGGTGTACAGTTCCCCTAATTGTTGTAGCCACTCAATCATGAGCAAAGTTCTAAAAGACGGCAGGTGTTAGTCGGGCGGCGGGCTGGAGCCTAGCACCTAGGCACCTAAGCGGACTAGGCGGATTTAAGTAAATCTATTATATTTTGTGTAAATAGGTGTGTGTTTATACTTAAAATATATATAATTTCATCATAAATTACAAAATAGAATGACATATATATTATGAAGTATTTGAACATAATGAAAACATGGGGATACAAGAAGATAATATGTGTTGATTTTAGTATTCAACAAGTCCCTTACAATTTATTAAAATTAATAATGCAAAATGAGAGCTATCTATTTTCTGTTTAAGTGAGTTGCAACCTAGGAGGGTGCTTAGGCGGGTCTGGACGGGCTAGGCGGGTTACCTAGGCGATCTAGGCGGGCGCCTTAGTGGGTCTAGGAGCCCTTTCTAAATTTCAAACGCCTAGACATTAATCGGGACGGTGGCTAGCTGCCTAGCAACTCGGCAGGGCCTAGGCGGCGGTAGGTGGAGATTTTTAGAACAGTGATCATGAGGGCTGGTTCTTCCCCTCCTTCATTTTGGCCACAATGTCATACAACAACTTCAATAGGATTGCTATCAGTTTTCTACTAATTAATTAGCAATGCCC